AAATACAAATCTCAAAAGCCAAAAAGAAAAAAAAAACAAATTCAAAAGTGAGAAACCTCAAGCATGCAAATACCAAGATTCAAATGCAAGGTTGCACACTTTGGGGCTTATTTTGGGTCTTGAGCCTTTAACCCTCTTCTTCAAACCTTTATCCTAACCCCGTTACAACCCTTAAAAGACCTCATTGAGATATACACACTCTTGTGCGAGGTTCGGCTAGAGCTACGTTAGGCCTGATTCCTAACGGTAGGCAACCTCACATTGAGGTGTGGCCGTAATAAAAATGCATTCACTCATATTCACATTCATGCATGATCATATCAAGGGATCTTTAATTCTCATCCCTATCCCTTAAGATCTAGACTTGGGGGCTTGATCCCTACTTCATTAGCCTACCCAGCCTAAGGGTCACCATCATTTGGCTCTTCTCGAAATATTTTTTTTTCACGCCTTTAGCCTTTGCAGCCTAACCTTAGTGACACTTTCACACACTTAACACATACATAACTAAATAATCCTTCCCTGGGAACCCCTTGTCATGAAATCTTGATACAACCTTGAAGCATGCCTTGTCATCTTAGAATCACTCATTATCATAATCATCATTGCATCACAAAGTATGAAGTACTTAGCCTCCGCGCCTAAGTTATCCAAGTACTTTCATTATCGAATCATCAAACTTTGCACCATGAGATACAACACCAATGTATACCCTTGATTAAGCTCACTCAACATGCACCATCGCTTGCTTAATTCTTCTTGAGGAAGTTCGAAAACTTCACCTCTTTTGATTTTCACCAACCTTCTACCTCTTTTCCTTCTCACGTCTTTCTTTTTTTGGAGAAAGTTGGTACCCTCCACAAAAATGATGGAAAATTTTTGCTTTTTCAGAATTTTTGAGTTGGATGAGCACGATCACCACACAATAGTCATTCACCTTGAGTCATATCACATCACATCGAGTTGAGTCTGCACATACGTGTCACATCACATTGAGTCACACAATAAGTTGAGTACACCAAGCCTTGAGTCAACCTCAAGCCAACCAACCACAATGGGTTAAGTAACACCAAGCCTTGGGTCAACCTCAAGAAAACTATAAATATGAGCAAAGTCCTATAGTTCAAAATATAGATGCAGGTACACCACGTCCCTAGAGAACGAGTAAGCTTTACAAAAGATATCAGGCAATATAATTGAGTACAAATGAGCAAAAGGCGCGAGCAATAGCAACGAAGCCGCACAATCAGAACGAGTTTAAAAAACTCTAACCTTTATTCCAACGCAGCATGACAGAAACAACGCAGCGCGATACACCTTGACGCTGCGTGACAACACTGTCGCCACACGATGAAACCCGACATGGCACGTTGGACTTGAATTCCTGCAGGTCGATTTTCTGGACGACAATTATTTACTCACGCCTCGTGATGAGCAATCGATTCTTTCCAAAGTCTCGTGATGAGCAAATTGTTCTTCCTTAAGCCTCATTATGAGCAGTTTACCAAAGATCTGGATTTGATTGATGATTGGCCCGATGACGATCATGTTTGATTGGTGATCGGCCTGATGACGTTCACTTTTTGATTGAGTACGCCTAAGCATTGGCTAAGCACCTTTGATAACGCCTAAACATTGGCTAAACACATTTGATAGCGCCTATACATTGGCTAAGCACGTTCAAGAACGCCGAAGCATTGGCTAAGCATAATCAATACACCTAAGCATTGGTTGAGCACATTTCAATACACCTAAGCATTTTTTGAGTCCGCCTAAGCATAGGTTGGGCACATTTCGATACACCTAAGCATTGGTTGAGTCCACCAAAGCATTGGTTGGGCACATTTCAATACACCTAAGCATTGGTTGGGCACATTTCGATACACCTAAGCATCGGTTGAGTCTGCCTAAGCATTGGTGGAGTACATTGATTGAGTAGTGATCATAAAGAAAATAAATTTAAAGCTCGGTAAAACCTTAAGAGATGGGGTTGTTACGACAGATTTTCCAAAGCCGGAAAGGATGCCACTTCCAGAAGTGAAGGCGAGAAGATTTGAAGACGACAACGCACTACGATCATCGATAACATTCCCTGATAATTTAGAGGTTATCCCCCTTGATATGCAGATCACGAAGCACTGCGATCATCGACAACATTCCCTGATAATTTGGAGGTTGTCCCCCTTGATTTGCACATCACAAAGCACAGCGATCTTCGTAGACTCTCCCTGATAATTTGGAGGTCGTCACTTTGATTTGAAGATGGCGAAGCACTGCGATCTTCGACGGCACTCCCTGATAATTTAGGGGTTGTCACTTTAATTTGAGAAGATGGCGAAGCACAGCGACCTTAGGTGGCACTCCCTGATAATTTAGAGTTTAATTCAACAAAATTGTCACTTAGAGACGTGTACCCGACAGTGCAAGATACGCATTTTTAACTACTTTATTTGTAGAACTAACGCTTTTCTGCAGGTATTGGCGTTAAAAAGAATGGTTTAGGATCGCAGAACGTTCTGGATCATTTTCTGTCCTTATCGATCTTACTTTGACTTTTGTTTTCTAAAGTTACGTTTCTCCAAACTCAGTCAAATTGGGGGCTTTTGTAGACACCTGATTATGTCTCCCCAAAAACCAAACCCAGTGAAATTCCCTTTAGCCTTGACCATTTATAACCTCACCTAAAGTGTTTTAAACCAAAAATCATTCATTTCGTGTCCTTAAACTCAAAATCATTCATTTCGTGTCTTTGAAAACCATTCATTTCGTGCCCTTTTCATAAAAACGTCCATAAAAGTCTAGTTTGTTCCATATCCTGGTCCAATTATTGTGTATTTGGATGAGGGTTGAAAAGAGCTTTCCAATGATATATTATAAGCCCAAATATGACTTATAACGAAGAAGTTATGACCAAAATACTAAACCGAGCCCAAACCGGACTTATGTCCACCGGACCTACGACCTAATGATCATGTGGAGGGTACAAATACTTTAATCTCAATTATAAACTGATTAGGATTCATTAGAAGCTTCTAGAATCCTCTAGAAGGTTCTAATTTATCCTTTCCCCGAAAGATAAAGATTAAAGAATTTGATATTGAATAAAACATCTATTTTTGATAATCCTAATCCCAGTCAAAACTGAATTTTGTGCCTCATAATTTTTATTAAAATCTTGGTTGGTTGTATATCCCTTAAAATTATCTTTCTAATGATATATCATAATCTTAATTCCGAGCTATAATTAAAAAGATATGAACGAAATATCAAACTTTATCCAAAACTGTCACCTTTCGCTATTTCGATCATATATTTTATTATACAAAAGATATCAACCTGATTCCAATTTATTTGGAAATTAGAATTCTAGAGATTTCCAACGATATATTATTTATCTTATTCCGATTTTTGGATCAAATGTTATGTTAAAAACAAAAACCGCAAAAACTGTTGTCTATCGCGCCGCGACAAGCTATAAAGAGAGTTCTACTCCAATTTGAATTTTGACTCTTTTCTGATCCTTCGACCCTTTTTTTACCTTATAAATAGAGGTCGTTTCACCCCATTTTCAATCATCAACAAGCTTCATCACCAACAATCATCATCTAATCCTCTCTTTAAGCTAAAAGCTTATCTTTCTCTTCTTTCTTGATTTCTAGCCTTAGCCTAAACACATCTCAACTCATCCAAACACACATCTTTTGATGCTCTCCCTAAGCAAACACCATACCTCCTTCACGAGCTTCGAACACTCTTAGCCAATCTCGAAGTTGCCTTTGACCTTGACGTGAAAGGTTGATAGTTCTGAGGGTTTGGTCCCAAATCTATATTTCAATTCTTGTTTGATTTATTTGATTTAATCTTTCTTGAAGGTACTAACGTGTGTATTGTTTTGATAGAAAGAGGTACGAGGCATCAAAGTGAGTAATTCGATTACTTAATTATTCTTTTGGTATAGAAATCATGTTTAGGATATTATTTTAATTCCTAGTATCATGTTAGGATGTTGATTTTGATTCCTGGTACCATGTTAGGATGTTGATTTTGATTCTTAGTATCATGTTTAGGCTAATGCTTTGATTATGATTTTTATTAGTGACGTGCTAGGATTTGTTATTAATCCGTTTAGTATCATGCCTAGGATCTTACTATTGATGTTTTGATAATATAATTATGATGATGATTGTTGTGTCAATTATTTTATACATTGCTTGATTATTCATGATTGATTGTTATTGCTTGATCACGCCCCTTCTTGCAGGTTTAAAGGGAATTTGTATTTGAAATCACGCCTAATAAGATAATTGCTAATTTGATTTTAGGCTAATATGATTTTAATTCAAGTGATCACCAATATTAGATTTATTTGTGCATTAATAATCAACCAACGTAGATTAAACATGTTTAGGGTTAATTTGATATATGTATGTTGATCGGAAAGCGGACATGAATATCATAATAATTAAGTAAAGGCCGATTTAGGGCGGGTTCAATCTCTTTTAGGTTGAATTCGTACCATCATCCCCGAATATCCAGGCATGGTTCTAGACCACTATGGAGTTAGCGATCTCTGTGATCGTGAATGGAGTGTAACCTTCACACCCGTGAACAGTATATAAGTTCCTAAAAATTGTTGGTGACTCTTTTATCTCTAGCTTCCTTCCCTTTGGACACCACCACTACACCAAAAAGGGAATTTGGCACTGGTTCAAACCCCCCCAAAGGCACCGGTTTTGAACCGTTGGGGATTTGAGGGGTGCCAAATCCCCAAATATTTGGCACCAGTTCAAAACCGGTGCTAAATGCTTGAATTGGCACCGGTTAATCGGTGCCAAATATAATGGCGCCAGTTTTATTTTTATTAAATTTAATGCAATTGGCACCGGTTCTTGCTTAAAACCGGTGCTAATAGTCTCTAAAAAAAATTTAAAAAACTTTTGGCACCGGTTCTAGTCAAAACCGGTGCCAAAAATACCCTAAAAAAATTTGCATTTTTTTCACTTAAATTGATATATAAACATTAACATATATATACAGTTACATTTTTTCTTTTAACTTTCAAAACAAAATAGGAAAACAGCAGCTTGAATTAAGAAATACTCCAATTCACAGCCATCTGTCAATGAGCTAGCAAACGTTCAATGAGCTGAGCTTGCTTTTGCCTCCTTACGGTTTCTCTCAACAATACTCTGAAACTCTTTCTCACTTGCAGAAGTTACAAGGAGTATATTCATCATGTGTCAAAGAAGGCTAGTGGCAGTAGTGAGTAACCAAGCTGGACATTGCACCAGGGAACCAAGTTCAGCAGCTTTGTTGCGACTTGATTGTTAGAATGACTTCGATGATCAGGCCTGGTTATTATGTCAACTTTTAAGCTTGGTTCTTGCTGTGATGATCAGTTTCAGTAATCGGGAATTATACCCACCATGAAAAAGGGCCTAAACCATTAGAGTTAAGTAATCCCTATGGCAAAGGAATGCTCGAATTATACAGCCGTTTGTCAAACCAGAACAAAAGGGAAGATATATAGCAGAATATATAAAGCAAGTTATTAAAAAAATGAAAGACCTTAGTTTATTTAAGTGATTAATAATGAACTAAGCTGAATTTTTCTGATTAATAATGAATACTTCCCTATTTCGCTTAGAGACACTAATTTTTATTAAAGACCAATTGAGCTTTCTAATTAAAAACTTAAAACCACTGATTTTTATTGATTATAATTGATATTTGCTGATAGTGATTTTGCTATGTGCACTTTCTGTTGTATACCAATGCTATATGCATACACACTATAATCATCAATGATAATAATCTTTTTTTTCCCACTTCTCTTTTCATCTCTTATTGGGAACATCTTCACAATAAGTGAACAACTATAAGTCAGATGAGAGAACTCACAGTGACAACCATTGGAGCAAAAGGCTTTGAACCTTCTTCTTGTTCTAAAGGGATTGGAGGGTAGTCAACACTAGTAACTTGAAACCGTATCTGCAGATGAGGAAACATAGTAATCTATGACAAATAATAATGGTAGTGACAAGATTAAATAATAATAATAATAATAATAATAATAATAATAATAATAATAATAATAATAATAATAATAATAATAATAATAATAATAATAATAATAGTAACAATAAAAAAAAAAATCAAAGAGGGTCCTGACCACATTTTCGTCATCATAGGATAATTCAAGATCATTGTAAGTCCACACCCATTTCACTTGCTTGCTGCAGTTCCCCAGAAAAAAGAAATTACAAATAAAGGAACAATATTGACTTAAGTTTAGTATCTTTAAATTTAAACTAGATGTGCAGAAAGAGACAAATATAGGTAATTGATCTTACGGATCATCATCATGGGGCTCGATACGTGACGGGTCTGGCAGAGCAAAGGCAGGAATGTATATGTCGTCAAAATACCCAAGAGACACTGTGTATCATCAAATTAATCCACAATACATTAAACCAAAGAAATAAAAAAAGAGCGATTATGAAGCTGAAAGCTATAAATTCCAATCTTAGCTTAAAAATGTATGAGAACAGCAGTAAAAACATAAAGATCAGCAAACCGTAACAACAAGCAACATGTTTATAATCAATTGTCAGCAACTTTTAATTGCAAAATTGCATAGTACATCATAGTTGCATATGAAAGGTCAGGTCAAATGGGAGAGAGAGATGAGGGTCAAGTGTCAGAAATAATGAAGAATATATAGTTGACAAGATAATTTTGTCAGTAACTCCACGATATTTTCTGAGTGACATGGTTTTAAGGGGCTAGTAGTCCCAGTGCTATTAGCTTAAAAGCAAACCAACACCCCAAACTCCAAATTGTTATCAATTTGAAAGAAGAAAAGAGCATGAAGAAAGAAACATAAACATGGAAAAGTATGAAAGCTCATGCTTTTCCTCCACAAGGCATCGTTAGATAGGTCAAGAGCCATTTTAAGTATAAATAGGTCCCAGAGCTGCTTCTCATGATCTTATATTAATAAGATATAACTGCAATGCTTATCTATTTGATTCAAACATATACATCATGAATATAGGGTTTTCTGTCCTCCAAGCAACAAGAAGCTAAAAATTCATAGAATAGTTTGGTTTCTCCTATGACATCAAGTAATGATCCAGGCAACAGCCATGTATGTGAGTCTTACCTCTAGTGAAACTAGATGGGAACAGGGCAATTATGAAGGTTTCAAGTGATCAAATTCATAGAATAGTTTGGTTTCTCCTACAACAACAACAAAGCCATAGTCCTGAAATGAATTGGGTTCTACTAACATAAACTAAATAATCAGGTTCTTTCAACAAAGAAAAAAGCTGGCAAAGTTGCATTACAACAGTTGTTAGGAGCAAATTTTGGCATCCAAGATCAAAAGATTCAAAACAATGGAAAATGATAAAATTGGGTCAAATTATATACTCACCGGAAAAAGTACAAAAGATTCCGGCTTCACAAACTTGAAGTCACTTCCACCAAATCCTCTCCCACGTCCTCTACCTCTAAATGCCATCTATATGTCATCAAGAAAAAAAATACTGCTAATTTAGTATAAAAAAAGAAGCCTCGAATAGTACAGCTTGTCCAAAAGGATCATGTTGAGCCAGGGGAAAGAATAGTAATAAAGTTAGCAAGGATTGAGAATAAATTACCACCATCACTCGATTTAGAGGTAGCTTGTAATATGCTGCTAGAGGACCTGTCTACAATCAAGTGAACAATGATTAGCACCAATCTCCTGAAACAGAAGCCTGATCACTTATTTTGAAAACAGAATCCATGAATGAAGCATCTGATATTCTTGTAATAAGCAGAGTATCATCCACATTCATTCAAAAATCTCAGCAATAACACAATAGAGTTGCAGGAAGCTGACTCACAGATTCGCCACATAAGTTCATGTAAGTCTAAGGTTTTGCTAGGAAAATTGGGACATTGCCAATGAACTCTGGGAACAGAATTACAAATTTCAAATAAATTTTTGAGGAGGTCAAATTAATCAGAAATAGTTCCTTAGCTGGTAGCAGTTAACTAAAGGAGAAAGAGAAGAAAAACCTTGGGCAAATAAAGTTTTACAATGAACATTATTGAGTGAAATGCCAAGAGAATCAGCAAGTGCATCAATCATTTCGAAGCCAACATTATGACGAGTGCCTTAGAATTTATCACCAGGATTGCTTAATCCCACAAAAAGCCATGGCAATGGAGGATTAACACATGTACTCAAACTCCGTCTAACAGCACTGCTTTCTCTACTCAAAAACCTCAACATCAGCCAGCCTTCCTCGACCAGGCCCGTCCTTGAGGCAGGGCATGCAGTAGGGGCGGCCGCCCTAGGCCCAGGGACAAGAGATTTAATTTCATATTCAATTATCTCATAATTTTAGGGATATTTGATTCAATAATCAAATTACGCTCATAATTTTCTTTTCTTTTGGATATGATGTTTCATAATCTAAGAATTTACGAACCCTAAACTTAAAGCACTGATAATTAAATTAGATTAGATCAAATATAAACCCTAGATTGTGAAATTAATGTGATGATAACAACAATAAACAACTTACCTTAGAAGCTGCTTCAATGGGGGATACAAGAATTAGATTCAACGGAGAACACTTCAATGGAGAACATTGAGTGCGCTTCAATGAAATAACTCAAGAGACTTAGGAAATAGGAATGGAGGCCTTTAATGGAGAAGGAGATCGAAGGAGAGAGACGGAGTGTTAGGAAAGCTCAGAAGCCCCTTCAATGGAGAAAGGAGGAGAGAGAGAGGCAGATCAGATGAGAACGAATTAAAGAGGAAAGAGCAAGGAAATGAAGAAGAAGACGCGCCTTAAACCGGGTTTTTTTTTAAATGGCACCGGTTCAAACCGGTGCTATTTACTATAGTTGGCACCGGTTTAAGGCGAAATGGTGCCAACTCTATTGCTTTCTTTATTTTGTTTTTTTTTTTAGGTTGGCACCGGTTTGAACCAGTGCTAATTAAATGAGTTGGCACCGGTTTTGGTTGGAACCGGTGCCAACTCCCTATTTTCCAATCCCACTCATTTCTTTTGGCACCGGTTTTCAAGAACCGATGCTAAAGGGGGGGTGCCTATTTGTTTTTTTCTACTGCACCATGCCTAAAAGCATGATCACAGTGGGCCTCAAAGTTGAGTTTGGAAATTTTCCTACAACTACCGTGCCACGGTACACAGTTTTGAGTCCATTCAGTCCTTATTTTGGTCTTCCGTGCTATTTTGGTCCACGCATTAGTCGTTTTGATACTGTTTACATGACTAACCATGGGATCATACCACGAGTCTTATAACATCACTTAATCACTCACGAGTCAAGTATAGTCCACACTTTATTTTTTCGACTCGAGTATTACATCATGTCGTTTATGATCGCATACTAGGTTCATGCATGTGTTTCCCTTTTCCCGTCATAATAAAGATGAGTGGAGTTTTTCTCACCTGTTTTCAAAATTATGTCTTTCCCCCTTTCTTTCCTATTTTGAGCAGTGAGTTAAACCATTGAGTGAATTTGTTTCATTTCACAGTACTTAGTCAAGGAGCAAGGGTAGATTGGTACGGTTCGAGTCACTACCACAACAACCTCTTAGACCTAAGAGGCGTCCAAAGAAAGCTCCGTCATCTCCACATCAACTATCACCTTCGAACTACTTTTAGTTCATTCCAATGGCCACTAAAGAACATATTGAGAACATTCACAAGTCCATCGAGGCACTTTCTACCATAATGCAAACCCTTACTACTAAGGTTGCTACCATGGAACAAACCAAAGTCACTGTTGCTACAGTTGACAAGATCGAAGAACAACTGAACAAAATTTCTAAAGAGTTCACCTACGTGGAACAAACTTCCACTGCTTTGGCTATGAAGGACAAACTCCCTGAAAAGTTCTCCACTTCTAACATACCTAAGTTCAAACCTACTAACAATCCAATATTCCATTTGAAGGCCTTCTTTGCAACCATGACTCTCAAGGGATTGGATGTGGCACTCTTCCCTACGGTGTTCCCTCTCTCTTTAAAGCATGCTTTCCAACAATGGTTTTATTCTCTGGATGCCAAGTACACTGCAACTTAGCAAGATGTCACTGAAAGTTTCATGTATCATTACAAATATAACATTCAAACCAAGACTTCCGAACGTGAGCTTTCTATCCTTACGCAGAAAGAAAATGAAGGGTTCACTACCTAGCTAAGTAGGTGGAGAGAAACAGCTGCACAAATGGTTGAGCCACCGAAGGAAAAAGAGATGGTTTGTCTCTTCATCCAAAATTTGACTCACAAGTACAGGCAACATCTCAAATTCCTGCCATTGAACACTTTCGAAGCTATATACGATATTGGCATCAATTTTGAGGACAAGCTAATAAAGAATGCTGGTAATAATAACAACTATAACACTTGGAAAAACAAGAAGAAAGACCATCCTTCTTCTTCATCTTCTAAGCCTGAAAATACTACCAATAGTGTAAGCCAATACGATCTCAATGAAGTTTTAGCTCTTGATGCTCCATTGCCCAAAATAAGGAGAACTTACACTCCTTTGGGAATGACGTATGACATTGCCTTTGATTGCATCTATAGTTAAGGCTTGATAACACCTATTGGGCCATTTCTAGAGCCAAAACCTGAAGAAAAGAGTGCCTAGTGGAATCCTAATGCCCACTACAAGTTCCACCAAGGAAGGGGTCACCCTACTAAACAGTGCTAGTATCTAAAAGATGTCATTCAAGATTTGGTTGATGCAAACAAACAGCAATGAAGATGAGAAGCAAGATGAACCCTTAGTACAAGATTTAATGATGTTTTTATTTTCTATTTGTATCATTCACTTCCCTTTCCCCAATGTATGTCTATCATAGGTTTTCCATTTCACAATTCTATATGTTTTATTCACCTTTCTTCCATTAATAAAATGAGCTTATTCCCTTTACATCTCAATCATGTCATTTTCACATTTAAAAAAAAAAATCAATTGCCGAACCTTGGGATTGGAAGGTGTGTAATTTGTGTACCTTTATTGTAACCCATTATTCCTCTTAATCATTCAAACACATAGTCCATTCTTTTATTAACCATTTTAAGCCTCGTTTAACATTTGGCCTCATTTATTCAACCCACATTCACCTAACCTTTGATATGAACACGTCTCAAATTACGTCTCTCATGTATTGCTTGGTACCGTGCCTGAGAAACATGAATGCTAAGTGAGTGATGGAGCGCATGATCCAGGATTGCCCACATTGATTAACAAAAGACAAGAGCAAAAATAAAGCTAAAAAAAATGTGAAAACTTGCAAAGTCCAAATTTTAAATACACAATTACACATCTTAGGGGGCTTATCTTAGGTCTTGAGCCTTTTACCCCTTTCTTTTTTAAACCATCAGCCTAACCACGTCACAACCATTGAAAAACCTCTTTGAGGTGTACATACACTTGTGCAAAGTTCAGCTAGAGCTACGTTTGGCCTGATTCCTAACGGATACGTAGGCAACCTCACATCGAGGTGCGGCCACATTCATAATCACATTCATGCATTGTCATGTCAAGGAATTTCCAATGCTCATCCCTATATCCATCTAGGGCTAGACTTGGGGGCTTGAACCCACATTAATTAGCCTACCCAGCCTAAAGAGTCACCATCTTAACTCTTCTTACATTGATTTTTTTAGCCATAGCCTTTGCAGCCTCACCTTAGTATCACATTCACACACTTCATTAACAAATACATTGCCATTCTCCCCTTAGGAACTCTTTATCATGAAATCTTGTTTCTATACCGCGCATGCTTCACGATAACATTCAGCAAACGTCATGATTGTTCAAAAGCACCACCGTATACGTGCTTAGCTTCCGGACCTAAGCAACGTCCAAGATTGTACACTATATATGATGCTTAACTTCCTAACCTAAGCAACATACATAGAAATAAACTACGATTATACTGTGCTTTGCTTCCTGACCTAAGTGCATTCATTGATTGTATCACATCATGTAGTTGCCCTTAGCCCTTAGCCCTTTGGCCTAAGAACATTCATCATGCATACATTATTTCAAGACAAGCGATTTAATTTGACAAGAAGAAAATCCATGCGATTCACCTCGCTTTCCTCAACGAAGAAGTTCAAAACTTCTTCCCATTTTTAATCTTTTTTCATTTGGGGAAGTTCAAACACTTTTCTAAAAAAAATTCTTTTGGGGAAGTTAAAAAACTTTTTCAAATTTTTTATCGAGGGAACTTCGAAAACTTTTACTTCATTTTTCACGTCTTTCTTTTTCGGGAGAAAGTCGGTACCCTCTACTCATGACAAAAACCCTCCACTCATGACAAAAAAATGATGGATTTTTTTTGCATTTTCAGTTACTTGTATCTGCGCACACACTCCAACTATACAAATACACATACACAATCACAAGTCGTACACATGTCATGTTGTGTTAAGTCAAGCTTAGTCGAGCCAGTTGTTCTGTCTTGAGTAAATCACCGACTATACGAGTCCTTTGGCAAATTACATTTTGTAGCACTACTACATTTTCGATCAAATACAACGCCAAAAAATGAGCTATTGCAACGCCTTATCCAAATGTCGTGGCAATAGATAGCCTATTGCAACTGTATTTTTATTGCCGTTGCAATAGAGTAGGCTATTGCCACGGATATAAAACTAATGCTCTTAGAGGTAGAGCTATTGCCACGGCTCTAAAGAACCGTTGCAATAGCCTAGATATTTTAACAAAAATGAAAGCTAATGCAACGGTAGTGTTGTATCATGAAAATTTTAGCTAGGTTGAAGCGCGCAGTGTTTCCTCTAATTTTTTCACCAAAATTTTGAACAAACACATTTTTACTTTTCTCATCCATTTTCTCCACTCATTCTCACAGTACCCATTCTCACCCTATTTCTCCATTTCCTCAATTTCCCCCAATTCTCCATTTTCTCAATTTCCCCCAATTCTCTAGTTTCCCCATCATCATCTCACATAAATAAGCAAGGTAAAACAAAAATTCTGAGGCCGATTTTGAGGTGAAAATCACGAAAAAATTCATTCAAAAATTTGATTTTTTTCGATTTCTAGGGTTTCGATTTGTAACTGTTGACGGTGGTGGAGAGCAACGATGGTGAGTTTTGATTTGTAATTGATGACGGTGGTGGAGAGTTGCTGAGCTAATGTCGCTCAAACTCCAGCTTCGTGCCCTGATCTTTGAGTAAGCCTTCTATCTTTATCTCTCTTTTTTCCTCTTTCTCGCTACTTTCTCTCCCCTTTCAATTATTGTTCCAATTTCGACAATTATACACTTAAAAAGTTTCAATCAATTGACTATTTAATGTTAATCAGGAACATCATCATCGTCCGTGGTAGTTGGTGAGAGTGATTTGCTAATTGTTGGACCTGGTGTTCTTGGTCGCTTGGTAGCTCAACAATGGAGTCAGGTATAATCGCTATTTCTATTGCATTTCTACCTCTCTTTCTTTCGTTTGTAAAACATTTAATTCCTCGAGAAATGTCAGGTTAATTTCTTTCGTTTGGGATTCTCGCCTTTATGTTCTTGCCAGGTTCCTTCTTTTATCTTTAATTTCTGATTTGCTTTGATTATTGGAAAATTGGTTGATTTTTAACTTGCAAATAAGTGTGCTTTTGGTTGTTTTGTTGGTTATGGTAATGCAAATGTTATGGTATAGGTAATGACAATAGATTACTATAGTTGGTGTTATAATGTCTAGTAACTGGTGCTTATTAAACTTCTGTCCTTTTTCCTGAGGCTTCTTGTATTATCATCTTCTTACATGTTGGGACAATTGCTACTAATGTCTCCAATCACAATATTTTCTTTGAACTAGAAATAGCTTACATGGGCTGATTGTTATTTCTGTATGGTTCTATGATTTTTATTGTCTTCTTGCACTTTCTGATAATGGCCATTGTGACGTGTTGCAATTCTTAGCAGAAATACAAGTGTATATATGTTAGTT